ACTGAAGTGACACAAATAAAAAAAGAAATCCTGTGTGGCAGCACTTTATACAGCCTCAGCAGACAAAGCTTAGTTAGTATGTTTTTGTTTGTTTGTTTGTTTTAAATTAAGACTTGTATAACATTTGTCATTCTTATTTTTATCATGTTAATAGAGGAAGAAAAAGGAGCATCGGCTTTAACAATCTGGAAATAAAAAACAAACAAACAAACAAAAATGGCTGCACGTATTGGCGTATCGGTTAGACTGATGTCAAAATAATCGAGGCAGAGGTAGTAGCCAGAGGTTGTGATGGGTCGCCCTGCGCCTACAGGAGATCCAATGAGCAGCTTGTCCCTGATGCAGGCTGACCAAAACAACCAGAGCAGACAGGCTCCAAAGAGCAGAGAAACATGAAGCAACAATATGCAGACCAAGGATCTAGAGAGACAGTAGCCAGACAGCGCACCGCATGGACATTCAGTTTCAGCTGCAACATCTACACCCTCTGTGTAAAGGTGGAGTCAGGCCACAGCAGAGGTAGGACTGTTTAAAGGAGAGAAACAAAGGGAAGAAACATTTTGGGGCTTTTCCTGTCCAAACGCTYGTTTTCTGAAAAAAGGTCAAATATTTTAGAGTGTTTGACCATCAAACACCAGCCAAGAGTTGAGGCTTTGATTGACAGGAAAAAAAATAAAAATATACCCAAAGTTTACAGAGACAGAAATTTTAGGCTATTTTAGACCCTGCAGAAGCCCTGTCAAAAGGCACCCAAGCATCAAAACATCATGATAAATAACAAGGTGAAATAATAGTTTATTTATAACACTTTCACACGTGCACCGTTTACACTGCACACAATATGACAATGGTCAGTGGTCTGTGTTGGATGACCAGACATGCATGGGTTCATAATTTACCCATTAGATCAAACATTGGATCAGTGTATTCATAGGGTTACTGTGCAAAGCTCTGACCAATCATACCCAGGAGAACCAGTCCTGAACAGAGGCGATGCACAGAACAGGGTCTCAGCAGGTGGTGAGAGGAGCAAAACACACAATTTTCATCACMCATGTCCAGGGACACGCAAGAATGGGCCTTCTCAGTGATTATAAATCAGGATTGAGTGAGGAGTTGTTTTTTTTTCCCCACACACCACCAAGCCTGCAGAGCTTTCCACAATTCACCACTGAAAATAAGGTTTAAATTGTGAATCTAGTAAAGTAAACCAAGCAAACAAAAGTACAGCACAACTTTAAATTATTGGGATTTAGATTCAAGGTCAACAGAGAAAGAAATGTTCCTTCTAACTGAAGTGATAAGTCCCTTTTTGTTCTGGGGAAACAAATCAACAGACCACAAGAAGGATTTATTTTAGGCTCACTTAAAAACTCACAGCTACTGCAAGCTGAGGAGTTTGATCTGGAGCCAAAGCTGAGTGAAAAGWCTGGAGCAGAAATTAGCAGGAACTAGAACCTAAAACAGTGCTGATATTCAGGATCAATCAATTCATCATGGTGGTCAGARRGTCCAGTGGTGCATGGCAGCCCCACCTGTCAGTGTGCTCCAGAGCAGCTGTGGCTACRTTGTAGCTTAGCATCATCAGTGTGTGAATGACTGTAGTGTGAAGCRCTTTGGAGGACGTAGGAACTTCATAAAGAGCTCTAAGTTCAGAACAAGTGGTCTGTAATGGATGACCACACATGGGCTCGTCACACAAGTATTAGATCCAACATCGGGTCACTGTGTCATCTGTATGCATAGGGTTCTGACACTTTTTTAGAAATAGTGTGGGGCTGACCAGTCCCAAGTGTTAAAGGCACAACTAAGCCCATTAAAGTGTCCAAACACGTAAAAAAAAGTATCTAGATTTGACTGTAGATGGTTAAAAAATGGTCTGAATGGTTAAATCTAGTGAAAAAGTCTCTTGACAACACAGAACACGTTTGTTTCCGTGTCCTWTGCAAATGGTGCATTCACAGAACAAAGAAAATGTCTGATTTTTCATAACTGACTAGGGATGGAAGTTATCGATTAATAGATTTATCTAACGTTGATTGATCTTATCGATTGACTAACGATTAAATGACAAGCGGCCATTTTCCTAAAAACCTGACATTTCTCTTATATCAAGGGTCTTTCTAAGACATGAAGGGCTAATTTTTTTTACATACTAAATTTTAAAAAAGTACAGTATTATATTTTATAAAATTTATTGTGCCAGCTGTGTTAAACGCTCACTGAATAAACAGAAAATTGTTGATTTCTCACACATTATTAAAC